CATATTTTAGGAGTATTACAGAGATTTGAAACTGAAGCTGCAGTCAGGAATTCAAACATCAAATTGCAGATTGTTAGTTGGTTTCCTGAAGTCTGCTACCCTACTTATGAAGAACAAGAGCTGGCTACTGTGACTATCACTGCATCATGAGAACATTTAGAGATGATTGAAACTGACTGGTCCATTTTTGTTTGCCAAGGGCCAGGTTATTTTCTACTGAGAGAAAACAATATAGAGACTAGAATTTTGTATAGTTACTGTTTGCCATTTCTCACCGATCCTTTCGTGCAGAAGGTGGCTGGGATTTGGAGCTCTGCCAGTTGCACTCCTCTCCACACACAGGGCAATCAGTCCTGGCAATGCCTCTGGCAGCCCACGACCACTGAGGCAGGCATCTGGGATTCTGTGTCTTGCTCCAGGGGCATCCCCAGCACAGCCCCCCTCTGTCATTTCTTTCCTTGTGATATCACTGGGAAAGAGCTGAGCTGTCAGAAGGCAGATCCAGGGGGCTGCTCCCCATGACAGCATTCCTCCATCCAGTGACAAAGTCCATCAAGAGACCCGCAGGGGAATGAGACTGTCACTACATAAATCCCATTTCTTTCCAGATATCAAAGGATATTTCTCAGACCTGCAGCTGATACAAATACTTCTTGTAGCAAAGGCAGCCCAAGAAACTGAAATTAAATCAGCCAACGCCAGGCAAAGATGCTGAAAGAAAACCATGATCACCTCAATCACAGATTGAGAAAATATGTCCCAGGAGTCCCTGCCAGAGCACCAGATCTCTGGGTCACTCCCATCTCTCCACCACCACCAGCACAGCCCCAAGGGCAGTTCACATGATAACTACTAGAGTCTTTCTGAAGAACATCTGAGCATACAATTTATCTGGATATATTTCTCCCTGTTCATCCTCACTGTCCTTAGCAATTTGCATTTAATGAGCAGACCACACATATTTTTATGGCAGATATTTCACAGCAGCAAACAAAGAGTACTCAGCTGCTTTGGGACAGCGCACAAGTGAATCCTAATCTTCAATTTAACCTGTCCTGGAAGGACTCTGTGCTCTGTGCTGTCTCTCCTCTCTCAAAGCACAGGGCTAGGGCTGCCAAAAGGCCTGCAGGGGGATGAGCAGGCTGTCTGCCAGAGCAGTAAGCTCGGTCCCTCATTGCTGCAGACTTCAGGAGAGCTCATCTACACTTGTCTGCTACAAGACGTTGTGACAGCTGAACACCCAACAAATGACCAAGTTGTTCGACATCACCTTTGCTCCCTGCATTCAAACATACTGAAGCCTTGTAACAAGTGCTCTTTTGGTTACACACACAACCACTGGGTGCCTTTTAACCCTCATCCACTGTCCCCTGAAGGTGTGCTCTAGGCAGAAGTTAGCTCATTTCCCAGCAGCAGTATAATGGTGGGGATGAGCTGAATGGCAGCATGTCGCTGTACCAGAACTGTAGCAGCAAGGGGATGGTCTCTGGATGGTCTCTCCACGGACTGAGCAAGGAGGGCTATCTAGAGGAAATAACAGAAAGTATTGGGAACAAGAAGCATACTTTCAGTCATGGACACTCAGAGCTGTCCTTACATCTCCTCCAAGAAGGCCGCAGAGCTCCTTTTGCATTTCTGGAGCTACTGACAAGCTGAGAGTCTGACCCAAGAGATAACCTGATGTAATAAGATAGCTCAGCTACATCATGCCCTCATGTCTGTAATGCACAGATACAGAAGGGCTGATTTAAGATGGTGTGGGCAATCTTAATTGTTGCATTCCCCGACAACTAAAAGCTTGACCATTTGTCACTGGTAACAATCAGACTATTTTTTGTGGAATGAATACACAGGTGTTTCTATCAGTGCAGCTGACTATATCTGAAAGAACAGCAGATAACGTTTTTTCCCCATCAGGTTGAAAACTTTTTATCTGATCATTTTGTTTGCTCTGCCACTGGCAGTTCCTTGATATCAACAAGTGAATGTGTTTCTCTCATCAGACACATTCAACCTCTTTCCAAGAAGCTGTCAAACACTTTTAAATGTACTTGTATTACTTCTTTCGCCTCACTCCACTGTCCCATTAACAATCTCATGCTTGTAAAGCAGGACAAAGTGCTGTGTGCAGCTTGTCCATCAGACAAGCAGAACTGAGGGCAAAATGGAGGGATTCTATCAGCTCAGAAACTATTTGGCCCTGTTCTCTGGCCAGGACTAAGTTGCCTACCAAAAATCGTTCTCTTCTTTGAACTTCAGTGTCAAGTCCAGCCTAAGTCTACCCGACCAGAGATTGATAGAAAGGTACAAAACCAAGAAATCTACACTATTCCTCAACTATAGCCATATTAGGAAGGCAAAAGGGATAAGACTCAGGGGGCTCCAATCACCAGCTAAAAATTTAGTGTAGTTTCTGGGCTTGCCACAGCACACAGGCTGAGTCAGAGCTCCTGAGGCACACAGTTAACAACATCTCTAAAGGGGAGAAACGATTGATATCATTTTTCTCAGTGAGCGATTAAGACTGCTTTTAACAATGCAGTCATGCATGCTATGCACTAAAAGGGATGATTCATTAGTTGCTTGGAAGAGGAGCATCTTCTTCTTTCAATTCAGAAGCCAGAGAGATTAGCCAATGTCCCATTAGTGTGGCTGATTAGCATGTAGAAAGAGAAGAGAGGAAATACTGGCTACTTTTGTCCCTGTCCCCGCATCTGCAGTGCTTTTTCTCTTCAAGCAAGAAACAAATGAGAATTCTGTCTGCAGCAGTGCCATTGATTCCCACTTTGCACAGTCTGACACCAGAACTGGCTGCTGGCAGCGGCTGCAGCTCCCTCCTCTGCCTCAGAGCCGCAGGCACCCCTGCGTGCAGCCCCATGCCATCTGCACAGCACCACTGGCTGATGCTGCACGGGACGTCTGTGCCTTCTGATGTCAGTGCTGTTGCCTCTTCTGAACAAAAAGAGAACAGTTATAGGTAGAACTGGTAAAGAGGACAACAATAATGGATTTCTTCTTATCTGAACCATATTGTTGCTGAAAATAAGTTTACAATAACTTTTCTCATCCTTCTATCCCTTTTTGAAATGACATCATGTGTATAATAATCTGCCACTCCCAAGCCTTTCCTTTCCCAGAGTGGGTAGCTTGGCAGTGCAAGGCACTCTTTGCGACACAGTGTGGTGCAATGGAGGAGCATGATGACACAACCGTCTGAGAGCTAATGCTAGAATTTCTTCATGTCTTTTGAAAAGAAATGGTATTGTCAAAGCCTGCATGCAAGACAATTCTAGCGAGCAGAAGTTGATGCTGCTGCCTCTTCGTCACAACAAAAGTTTAATTTATAGCAAAGTACAAAGCTTGCTTTTTTTTTTAACATTGATCAAAATTGTCACGGATGATCTCTTTCCCCTGTCCACATATGACTTAAAGGCAGCTTGTTCTGCATGCTTCTGACTGCAGTCACGTAATGATCGCTTGGACATGCTGTACTCAGAAAACTGGCAGCAGTTCCAAGATCGATGAATGACAGACTTCTGGAATTCACTGTCTGCACTGCAAGGATACATACAGTGAGTGCCCTTGCATCCAAACACAATCCCCACACTATCCCTAACCACCTTTACATCCTGGACTCCACCAATTTAATAGATACCCTGTGTCATTCATCCCTGGCTTTTACTTATCCTTTCTTCTGACCTCATCCTGGCTCCCCTTGGCCTTTCACCCTTCTCCTCCTTGGCTGCCACAGCGCCAGCTATTTATGCAAAATGACTCATCCTCTTCTCCACCACTCATGCCTCTCTTTTCCTTGAAGCAGTCTGGGGAGGATGAGTTGCTACCAGCCTGTGGTAGCAACTCCAAGGGGCAGACAAGCTCCATATCAGCCCTCATCTCCCTATATGTTAGCACTTCCTTCCCAGACTACATTATAGCTGTTACCCTGCCCTCATCATGGTCCACCTTCAATCTCCTGTGCTGGTTGATATTTATTACAAGCCTTTAGTTAGCCAAATCCCTTCTTATCTCACCTTGCTGAACACAGAGTGTGCGCTTCCCATGTTGACAGAGTGGAAAAGAGTCTCAGCAGGTGTCCATCCAGCTGAGTTCCTGACAGAAAAACACCACAGGTATTTTGTTTCATATTAATTATGTAAGGGCACTTAAAGCCTTGGCTACACAAACTTCATACAATACAATTCCAATCATCCAATTTAATGCAAATATAATTTAATCCAATCCAATTTAATGAAAATAACTCATTTGAGAAGCTCTTTGGAAAAAAAAAAAAATCAAAAAGATGATATTTTGGTGAAAACAAAGATTTGTGTATCTGTATTTGAAGGTCAAAAAATGACACCAGAGACCAAATAATTGAATTAAAACATGGCCAGGATTTCTTTTAACTAAATAGTGAAATATATATACCAAAAGGAAGCTCTTCTGTGAAAGTATCATCTTTACTCAAAACGTCTTCTGAATTTATGCACAGTGCACAATGGACACCAGATGAAATCATCCTCAGTATAACTATGCATGTAACCACTGGAAAGCAATTTATTCCACATAAAAAGACCATTATAGATTTCATACATGAGATATTTATGTAACTTATCTTTATTTTTTCTTTCATTACTACTTCTGCGTTCATCAGAAGCTCCAAAGACAAATAAACTGTCACTCATTCAACTGATGGTGTGATTTGCCATCCTGCCATGGCTTTACTTTTAAGCTTAAGTTAAAGCAAATCGTCTGTGCTATAAGTGACAAAAGTCCATAACCCCCACTGCAGCAGACTGCATTCAACACAGAACAAGGTCAGACCTGGTGAAGGGAAAATGAGCACAGCATGGAATGACTGCTAAGGTTTTTCTCTGTAAGCAAAACTCGTGTGTTATTCTCCAAATGCTTCCTTGGAAGTGCCTTCAGTGTTTTAGTTAAAACTTCTCCTGTTGTCTCCCTTCTGTTCCCCACAACTTACCGCCATTTATTTAGTACCATAGACTTCAGAACAATTTATTCACATTTTTAAAAGTAAGGAGTAATTGATAACAGTATCACTGCATGGAAATTGCCTGACAGCCTTCTGCTAGGTGCTAATACCTGTGCTCTGCATAGCAGAAAAACTGCCACTTCTCTACCAGTGCTTCAGTGAGACAGTTACTCCCCCACCCTGCAGAAGGTCATCACTGACTGTTAATACATAACCCACGGATGTGTTGGATCTTTCCCTGCAGCGCTGTTTCAGACACCACAGGGGAATCCCCTCTGCTACCCACGCCAGCAGCAGGCAGGGAGCTGCGCTTGCAGCAAGGGGCACCCAGCTTCAATAGCTGCCTGAGGACACCTGCCTCCCACCCTGCCTCCCTCCACGCAGCTCTGTTGGGAGGGGGCTGCACGGCGGCTCCCTGGGCTGATCCACACAACGAAGAGGATGCTCTGAATCCAGATTGCTTTTGTTATCAGAATGGCATCAAGAACTGCGGTGCTGGTGCAGTCAGGAGAGCAGGCGCTGGAGAGGAAGTGTGCCATGCTTCAGACAGCATCTCTTCCCTTAATAAAGGTAGAATGCAATTGAAAGAGCGTTATGGTTACACAGTCATCAAACGGATAGCTCACAAACAAAAAGGATAATGCATTGGTTCAAAAAGAAACAAGACTGAACAGTAAAAACTGCTTCATACATGTTCCTTCAGCAGAGGAAGTAGCTACATGTATATGACTACATGTACAGCCATTAAACAACATGAAAAATACACAAACATGAATCCACGTGCATATACACATTTACACATGTAAACACGCAAACATGTGAAAGAAATGCAGAATACACCTCACGTAAGAGTTTTTGTCAGCTTTCAAAACACGCATGCAGCTCTCATCGTCTGAGGCAGCCAGTTCCCGGCAGCAACAACCAGAAAAGCCTATAGAGGGAGCAGGCCGCCTGCTTTTTCTCTGTGACGGGTTTTCAGCCTTAAGGAACAGCCCTGAGGGAAGGACAGCCAAAGGTGGAGGACGATCATGTCTTAGGGAGCAATCCCAGGGCCTGATCAGGTTACCCTGCAAAGGAATGGAGCAGCAGCAGCACCCACCTGCCCAGGCCTGGGCAAGAGGATTGCAGCTACGTCTCCCTTCCTTTCCTCCTTGCCCTATGTTCAAGTTCACACCCGAGCCCTGCAAGAAATCAAGAATCACTTACTGTTTTCTCTCTTCTGTAGTCGCTGGCATGTCCTAATGCTTCAGCCTCCTTTCTTCAAAGTTTAGCAGAATTTCATCTTCTGACACCTACAGCCAAAGCAATACAGCACTAGCTAGAAGGCAAGAATGCAGTATGCTGCCTGCTGAACAATCAGAATAACTAGAAAATGCACAACTGCATGTCACAGATAACATTAGAGAAGCAGGATCAGTATTAAAATTGCATTCAGAAGACAGAAAACACCAAAATATCAGTTACTGTGATACTGTGATTACTGTTTATATGTCCAAATTTCAACAAATCAAACATTACGTCCATTCTAATTCACACACACATACATACAAAAATAAAAATAAAAATAAAAACCTTCAACCCATGTATACATTTATTATAGGTACAGAAAGTTGGTAGTTATTGGTTCAGCCCAGAAGGCCCAGCCTAGGGTGCCTCTGCTAAGCGTAATACAAACCTGTGCCAAGAGCCTTACCTTGCCTTGTTTTTATAGCCCAAGGAAAGACAGAATGATGGGACTTCTTGTTTCGTTTTTGAAACAGATAGGGAGCTGTGAGCAGAAAAAATTAACAGAAAGTGGATCTTACCAAACAAACGGAGATTCAGCCTTTAAGATCAAAAGGCTGGCAACTGAAAGATGTAGGTTTGGGAGTAAAGACATTTGTAAGAAGCTTAACTGAGAGGCCTATGCTTTCTCATCTTAGAAATAACAAATGTGCAAAGGAGAAAATGGTGCATAATGCATGGCAGATCCGCAAGTGTAATTTACTGTGTCATCCCTGTGAATTCTCCATGTAGAAGGACTGGCCACCAGAGTGTGCACCAGCTAACTTCCATTTCTGTAAAAACTTAACAGGCACAGAGCATACAATATTTATACATGAAATTATACTGAGAGCTCTTCCCCCCACACACTAAGGTCTAAGAATGCTGTAGCATTCGTCTCCTGGGGAGCAAGAGCAGGCTTTAAGACTGCAATACTTATAGTTAAGCACAGGTCATGCAGCAGTAACAGAGAAAAGGAACACTGCCCCTCAGTTCCTAGGCATTGCAGCTTGAGATTTTTTTTAAAAAGATAGAATTACTTTTCCTTAACTAACCCCTATAATGTTTCATCTTTTGATACAGCTCTGCTTCTTTTTTTTTTTTTTTTTTTTTTTTTTTTTTCTCCTTTTCCTTTTTGGAAATTGGAGAGAGACAATTTGAGGAATATATTCTACACAGTGATGTGATTCAGCAACTTTCTGGAAAACATAAATGCAACCCTTTTTGTCAGTGCATTGATGAAACACAACCAGCAGCAATTTCCTTCATACTGGGCTTAACCAAAAGCAGGCAATGTATCACCAACTTAAGCTCAGAGGTCTCAGATCACAATGTCATTTCTCATGTTCTTTTACGTGACTACGAGCTGCTCAAACCCAACCAGTGACAACAACCACAGTACTGCAGAAGTTGCTCAGTGTTACTCAGGGTGGCTCAGCAAATACATTTTCCTTTTCATCAAAACTCTAGGTAGCTTTGCCCATACCAACACACAAGGCTGTTGCTTTTCAGTATCCCAAGGGCATATCCACAGAATGGTTGTTCTGCAGCTCCACCAGAGCAAACCCCCCTGTCGTGGGGTTGCCTCATCAGAATTTTTTTGGCATGAGGACACAGGAGTGAATGAGGCTTAGTAACTCCACCGTAAAAACATGATATGATTTTGCATATTTGGTATTCTTTACCCAAAAGTGCCTCAAGGGTGGGGAATCAGATCAGAATTAAAAATTATTCGCCTTAAAGGAACAAACTCCCACTCTCTGCCCCAGTGACATGAAAAGTAGTAAAAAGAGCTGAGGGAACTGTTGTGCTATACCAGGTGAATTAAAACTATCCCTATAAAGATATGTCTGTCCATAGGGTAAAGGAGTCCAGTCTTCAGACAGGCAGTTTGGTAGCGATCCCCAGGAAGCAATGGTGCCTGTGTCCCCTACTCAAGGGCACATGCAGGAGTGGTGGGCAGCACATGTCCTGCTTACCACCATGACCCCTCCTGCCCTGGGCTGCCAGAAAGCCACAGTGGCAGCTCTGCAGCACCCACAGCTCATGTGCAGTGTGTCCCGTGATCAGCCCAAAGAGGAAAAGTGCTGTGCAAGCGTCAGCCGCTGTTGTTCCTGGCAGCGCTGCGTGGGGATGCTTGCAGGCACTGCCTGTGAGGCTGGCTAACCACTAACCAGCATGGAGCCTCTGTGCTGAGAGGCACCAAGCACTATTCACCACACATATTCCCATCTGCAAAATAAAAAGTGATTCTGACAGCAAAGTCTTCCAGTGACTAAAGGACCAGCGCGCCGCTGGAATCAAGTAGTTGGCACAATTTCTATCATAAACGCTGCTATCAGGTCATTGTAACTCAGCTGTAAAAACTGGCTCCAGGCTGATATTTGGCAAACAAGACCCAGCAAGATAATCCTTTTTTAAACACATTATCCTATCTGAGTAATCTACAGACATGGGAATGGAGAGGTCTGCAGATGCAATCCCCACGGACGTCACTGTTGATCTTCTCTGCTGATGTGGAGAAGGGCACCCAGGGATGGGAGCACCTGGCCATCCCAGTGGGAAACCCAGAGACCCACAGACATACCTCGTCCCATTTGGAACCACCAGATTTCCCACAGAAGAGAAGGATAAGTATCATCTATTGCTCTATCAGAAGAAATATCTCTCATTCTTCAAAACAGCTCCTTAGTCACAACACCATAATGCTGTGCTGGCCTCCACAGTCCTCTTCTATTTCAAAAGGCTTCCTGTGGACTGTACCACATCTGAAAAACACTTTGGTTGAAAAAATGCCATCCATCAGCCATTCCGAATGGAGTTTTGCAGATCTGCGCAGAATAAGAGACAGGACAATAAGAATGGTTAAATGCAACAGGGTGGAAAATCAGCACTAAACAAATTGTAACAATTATTTATGTATCTATGCTCAGGTTTTATAGTTAGGAATGCTTCTTTCATTGATTTCATTATTAAAAGTCTGTTTCAGCTAGGGTTTCTTTTTTAAATGCTGAATCTCATTTCCAAACGCCCTCAGGGAGCAACAGCCACAACAATAAAATTAGGAACCAATTACCAAAGATAAAATTAGAATACCTAAACCCAGCACTATACTGGGAAAATGCAGTGTTAAAATGTATGAGGTAAAATGTTTTCTAACTATCTCAGTGTTAAACTTCATTTTGTCCTTGGAATGGGCAAGGGCAGAAATTTGTGACAAATTATCATGTTATTAAACACAACTGTTTTAAAACTAGTGCTGTTTTTTGTTTGTTTGTTTGTTTGTTTCTCAGTATAGCTAAGGCCAAAGAGGCTTAGTAAGATTTCAAATTAATTTTTAATTAAGAAGACTTTTTTTTTTCCCCCAATGTTTTTTAACATCACTTCCTTTAGGATCAGGATTCAGGGAGAACATAGATGATACGAATGGTTTACTTTTCCATACTGTTTACACAGTAGATCTGAAGGATCTGCAAAAGCAATTCTTTGGTACAAGTGAAGAACACACCACAACCACAGCTACCACCACAGTGGCAAAAGCAGCAGTAGGTGCCCAAGATCCATCTACCTACACTAGGGCATCCAGTCAAATACTTTGTGGTGAAATCACTTAATTTGGGTAGGATTGACATTTTGGACTATAAATACTACCACCATGGATTGGAATGGGGCTTCCACTACCATTCCTGAATAAGCACCTTCATGAGACAGATGTTCTCATGGAGCACACGTTCAGGCTGAGTAAGGCTAGAGATGGCAACTCCTCTTTGTGGTCATGTTGAAAAGTGCACTGCCTTTTCCTGCAAAAAAAAAAAAAAAAAAAAAAAGAAGAAAGAAAAAAAAATCTGCATGTTTCCAAAACCAGAACTGTGTTATAATATCTAAACTGGTATGGCAGTGGGGAGAGTTGTTCCAGCACTCTCCTCTAACATCAGGTAACTCCCCAGTTTCTTCTCATCTTCAAACACGTGGCTATTATGCACTCCTCAACAAAACACTGTCAGATACATTCACCAAACATTCTGATGCTGATGAAAAAGAATCATTCAATTGAAAAAAAAAAAAAAACCATTGTCATGAAAACACTTTGTTTAGAACATTGCTTCAGATGAGTGAACATTCATTTGGTGTTCCTGGGTATTGGAGTCTAGCTCAGTGCTTTTGCAAAATATATTTTTAAAAAAAGGCTCAATAGTATGTTTGTCTTATATCATGAACTTGAAACTTCTGTGGAAACAAAGCTTTCTCTCCTGGCAGTATGGCAGTGTCTATAGGCCTTGAAGCTAGCAGACAGACCCAATGGGTTTCACGAACCATTCTCCAGCAAAAATCTGCACACAGGAGCTGACTCCTTATCTGCACTTCAATCAAATGAGCTTATTGTTAAAGTTTTACAAAGCAGCCCAGCAGCAAGGTGAAAGATGAAGAGATATTGAATAATAGATAAGAATATTTTTAGTCAGCTTAGATGTATTCACATCTCCGAGTGCAAGCTGGAAAAGACCCACAGACAGCCCTGGGATGGGGCTCCCATGGGCAGGCAGGGCAGTGCCCTGCAGCCTGGGCTCATCCTACCTCCCTGCCCAGAGCAGGGCACTGGAGCACTAAACATCCCCTCCTGCTACAGAGGTATTTTTGCTTCTTATTCATCCACTGCTTTTTAAGCCCAGTGGTGCTGCCCTTCAGCTTGCAGCAGACAGAGCTACAAACTTGCTCCCAAGGCTACTCCTTGGGATGTTCCTTGATGGGAACATCAGGTTTCCTGCCACCCTGCTCAGCACAGGGGCAACACAGAATTTCTATTGCTCCCCAAATGCAAAAGAAAGAAACAATTAAAGTGTCTGATTGCAGCACTGTTCTGTGTCCTTTAGCCACACTAGGGTCATTGCTCCAGTGGTGAGGCACTGGCACAGCTGCCCAGAGAAGATGTGGGTGCCCCACTCTTGGAGACATTCAAGGCCAGGTTGGATGGGGCCCTGGGCAGCCTGAGCTGGTGGGTGGTAGCCCTGCCCACAGCAAGGGGTTGGAACTGGATGATCTCTGGAGTCCCTTCCAATCTAAGTCATTCTATGATTGCTTTGTTATTGAAGCTTGAAGAGACCAAGATTTTTAAAAGATCTTTCCACTGCATGAGCCAGCCCAATCCCTGTTGCCTCTCCCTTTTAATGAAGATCAGAGAGTACTTGACATCTTTGATCTCACTACAGATCCTGAGAGCCTCTCAAGAGGTGGAGGTATAATAACATCATTCACTGAAAAGATAGGGAGATACTGACTGAAACTGTACTTTCTGAAATAAGTGCCAGTGAAAAATGAAAACTCATTTGGATAAGCCTCGTTTCTAAAAGGAATCTATTCATGTGTCCCTGGGAACATGCACACAAGAACTGCTGTACGAAATCAGATATGGTATTTAGTCCAGATTCAGAGTATTTGCACACAATCCATCCGACTGTGACACTGAGCACAGAGCAGAAATGCCCTCACCTTGTCTCATCTATACCTGGGAGACAGTACATAATAGTGGGGCAGACAGCTGTAAACAGGGAAAACTTATCTCAGTAGTATGTAAGAAGTGCAGTCCATTACAACAATGTGAAAAGATCCAAACATTGGTCTTCTGGGGCAGAAGCAACCATCAACCTGCAGTGCCACGTATCTCAGTGCTGCTCACATTATCCAAATGTTCTGACAGGACATTTCTGCTGAACTCTTTATTCCCTATACCTGGACTGCTGAGCTAGCAGGTTCAAAATCAGGTTGGACGTATCTGAACTGTTACTTGGGTATTGGAGAAAAAGAGCAAGTATCAACTGATGCTTGAGACTGCAGCAGAGATGCAGCCCAGCATTTTGTCCATCCTGTCCAGCAAGGCCTTTCAGCACACATATTGCTGTGATCCTTCGAATAGACTCAGCAATGGCATTAGCTTAATAATGAAGTGTGCTTTGAGCTCCCTTTTGGACTGAGAAATATCTTCAAAGCATTTTATAAAAACACAGTAGAGCCTCAAAAAGCAGAAAACAAAAGTTCCCCATTTCTCTCTCTTCCAGCTGGATGCTTTGGAAATAGAATGCTTTGGCATAAAATCTAGATATACTGAAGCAATTGCCAGAGGCCATCCAAAGTTACAGCCAAGTCCATTTTGGGGAGTATGGACAGATACAGACAGGGCACCTGTCCTAACCCAGACAAGCCCAAATGCCCAGTGACAGAAAGCATGGTGCACAATGACAATGGGCAGGGCAGAAGGCTGCACATCATCTTGCTGTGAGGGCCTGGCCACTGCAGTGCTGTGCCACTGCAGCATGAAGGGCCCAAAAGGCTACTGCAAGCAACCCAGAGGGAAAATATTGCTTAATAAATCTGTGGGTCATATTGTCCCATAGGATCTCCCTTCAGATCTTGCAGCTCATTAGGAAGTGCAGGGGTCATGTCCATGCAGACCCACTACTTTTGCAGCTGTTTTGGCCCACGAAGTCCATCTTCTGCTTCCCAGCTCCCTCCAGGTGAAGTTCCAGATTGGGTGAAATACTAAACTACCTGCAGACTGAGTTATTTGGAAATGATCTTCACCTCCTGTAGTTGCACCATTTGGCATTTTAAGCCACGTTTTCCTTTCTGGGGAATCACGTATACTCTTCAACTCTCTTCTCCTATGTGTCTTCCCACTTCTAATCCTTTCTTCCTTCAGCTGCAATTTGGTATTCTTTCATGTGTGCAAAATTTCCAGTGAAGCAGTTCCTGCTTTCTCCCACTCCCACATCATCTCCCAGCCCAGATCATCTGTTGTACTGTGCCATCATAAATATTTGTGCAGCCACATGGTGAAGCAGATCAGAGAACTGATCCAACTGAAAAACAGCCCATGGGAGAAAGAAAAAAAAAAAAAGCAATTTTTCCAATTTAGTATGCCACAAGGTCACACAAATTCTTGTTTTCTGTAAGAACAAGAATGGCTGACTGCAAGGAGGAAGAGGGAAAAATCTCCTGTTTTAAGCTTTGCTGGCCTTAATCTATTTCCACATTTTTGGCATTTGCTTTCATCAGCATTCGTCCCCCCCCCCCCCCGCCCCAAAAGCCTGGAGAAACCCCTTATCAGAGAAGTGAATAGGCACAGAGCTATTGAGGTTCCCAGCCCCTCACAGATGCCTGGGGGAAAATTCTATGCACAATGATATCTAATTCTTGCCTGAATTTGAGGCCAAGACCCTGATCTCCAAGACAGTGTCCTCACATCTGAGTAAGAGCTTCCTCCTATCAGCAACGAGCTCAGGGATCCTTTGGAATCAAATGCTAGCATTTCAGAGGCAAACAGCATATTTCTCTCTATCTCACTCTCCAGATCTGAGGACTGATGTGGCATAATGCCTCCTGGTTACCTGTTCTACAGCCCTATATTGTAAATTGGAGGAAAAAGCCTGGAAACATTACCACTTGATTGCATTTTGCCAAACAGACTTTTCAACAGCTCACTTTCCATTTAACAGATTCTAATAAGCTAAGCCAAAACCCAAGGCCAGAAAACCCTGGCATGAATTCTCTCAATTTCACTTCTTTTTATCTCAACTTCTTTTTTCAAAATAAAGCAAAATAAACCACAGATATTTCTCAGGATAGATTTGGTAATCTTTTGGGAAACACTTGAAAAGTGTGGCAAAATACAACAATACTGCTCAATAAAGCTGTACAGAATACAAAGAAGTCCTTCCCCCACCTCCTCCAACTCAAACAAGAGCCAAAAATATTGTTTTGTCCCCATTGGTTTGTGGTGTGACAGCAAGGATATGAGACCAGCGGATCCCATGAGTGGGAGGACCAGCTACAATGAGAAACTTTTCCTTCTTTTATTGCTCCCAGCAACTGTACAATTAACTGAAATTGTGGCTATCCTTTCAGCAGTGAGTTAATGTATTCAGGCTAAGGATAGTGTCTAAGTGAACATTACAGTTTCCTGAAGAGGCTGCAAATCAGCAGTCTGCCCTGAAATCATATCCCATATTACCCTTCAGTGAACTAGAAACACGAAGGTAGTATGTTATCATATGCTACGAGACTTCCTTCACACAGTGCTTGCACCATGGCAAGCCTTGGGACAGAGCCTAACGCATACACTGATGGACATATTTAGCTTGAGGCAGTTTATCCAGTAAACATCAGGGGAAACTGTGCACAAAGACAACAGGAAGGGACTGATCCTGGTCAGCTCTACTATTCCAGAAGCTCTGCTAATTTTGGAGAAAGCAGAGCAGGATTTGGCTATATAACAAACAGGCAAGTGTTTAAAGATGTTAAACTGGTTTGAACTCTAGGAACTAAAGAGGATGTCAAACCTATTTCTGAGCAGAGACTGCATAAGGAAGGCTTGTTCTCAACATACCCTTGAGGAAGAGCTGCCTTTGATTTTTTCCTCCAATTCAACAAGAAAGTTGGTGTGCTTAGAAGTACATCTGAGCTTTTTAGCTGCATCTAACAAAAGATATGACTTGTTCCTTCAGTGAGTCTTCCCTGATATGCTCCAAAACAAAGCTTCCTCTTACCTCTGTCTCCATTCCAACAGCATTTACCTGGACCCACAAAGTCCACCTTTCTTGCCATTCTTTTTGCCCTGCCACACCATCCACTTAGGCCTCTCAGAACAAATTCTCTAGACCTCCCCCTCTTACACTGTCATAAAGACAGAGCTGGGAGATGCAGCAGGGATGGAAATGAATGGCAGAAGAAGGAGGAGAGTGGTGTATTGACGTTGAGAACTGCTTGGCGTAGCTCTGCCCAGAGTAGGATGCCAGCAGGTCAGAAA